GTGTGCAATATGGTACATTATACAGCGTCGCAATGCAGAATACCAGCAGCTATAGAGGAATACAGCAAATCGCAGCAATAGTACATTATACTATAATGTACTATTGCTGGGATTTGTAGTCTTCTGTAGCTGCTGGTATTCTGCATTGCGCTGTATATAATGTATTATTGCTGGGATCTGATGTATTCCTCTATAGATGGTGTTATTCTCCATTGCACTGTATAATTTATTATTGCTGGGATTGTAGTCCTCTATAGCTGATGCCATTCTGCATTGCGCTGTATAATGATTAAACGGTGCAATGCAGAATACCACTGACCATTTATAGAGGAATACAACAAATGCCAGCAATAGTACATTATACAGCGGCACAATGCAGAATACCACCAGCTATAGGGGAACAACAAATCCCAGCATATATATCAAACCAAATCCATAATTGATGTGAATTTGGTTTGATCACTTATATATATACTAATCACTAATACATGATTTAAGGTTATGAGTGCTGCATATTTATTTATTCACTTATCATTGGACTTAGAGTCTAGGTTGCAGCAGCTTTAAATATTAATTACCTAATAATAGGTTTATAATGATTATATACACTTTGTTCACTCTATTGGATTGATAGCTTTTTCCTAAGTGCAGATTTGATATTTAACATTAAAAAGTTATCTCGAGTGACTTACCTTGAATGACGGTGGGCCCTTGATTGTTGGCGGGCCAGCGGCGAGTGAGGGAGCTCACGTCGAGGAGGAGAGCAGCGGTGTGCGCGGCTTCAGCGTCCTGTGTGGGGAAGGTGGCTTAGGCGGCCTGTGCGGTGGACAAGGCGGGAGCAGCGTGTGACCTGTGGCTCAGGCCGCGTGTGGAGCCCCAAACAGGCTAATCAATTAATAGCCCACCAATCGGCGATCGAAAACGTCGACAACGTTTTCAATCATCGATTTTAATCGGCTAAATCGATGCTCTAATTCAGGGGCGGGAGGGGGGCATGACGGTGCATTGAAGTCAATGGCACCGCAGCCATGCCCCTCACCCGCAGTGCGATCGCCCGCACCCGGAACGCAGGCACATTAGTGCCTGCCTTTCGGTCCAGTGCGATCTGCAAAAATAGTGCTTGCAGCATTTTTGCAGATCGCACTTCAATACAGCCCCACGCCCCTTCCCGCACCTGAACGCAGGGAGTCGGCCGGCTTGCATTTCAGTGCGTTCTAGAGGAGCCGGCGTCCTGTCCTCCCGCAGTTGCACACAGGGAGAGGTGTCCTGCCCCTTTCCGTCCAACACATTCAGCCGGCAGCCACACAAACTCTGCGGGAGCATAGACGTAACAGGCTCCTTTTGCGCCCGAGGCAAGAAAAAAAAACAAAAACATGCCCCCCCCAACAGGCGTGTGACATCACCCAACGCCCTGCCTCCAGGATTGAACAGAAGCTTTCCATTCATTCAGAAACTATTTACGATCATCCAGTTTCTGAATTATTATTATACAGGATTTATATAGCGCCAACAGTTTGCGCAGCGCTTTACAATATAGGGCAGACATTACAATCACAATACAAGACAAGATGGTAAGGAGGGGCCTGCCCTGAGGGCTTACAATCTAAAAAATCTAAAAGGGAGGGGGAAGTGGTACATGAGGAGGGAGCTGCGTGGGGGTAAATTGTTTGAGAACGTAATGGTTGAGTGGTTAGGTTGAGGTGGGATAGGCTTCCCTGAAGAGATGAGTCTTTAGTCTGAATGGGAGTAATGATGGGGAGAAGCCTCTGTACAGAGAGCTACTCCCCACTGAGAAACTCATAAATGAACATGAAGTAATGTAAAGCACTTCCTGTTCATTCATAACTGGGGACACATAATACTATGTATTTAAGTTTTTTGTCATATGATCAACAAGCGCTTTCGGGACCACACAGGTTCCCTTAATCTCTTAAGCCTGATGAAGGGACCCTGTGTGGTCCCGAAAGCGCTTGTTGGTCATATGACAAAAAACTTCAATAAATGAAGCTTTTGCTATCCTAAAAGGACTGGTGTGCTGGTGAGATTTCTACATATCACTAATATGTACCGATCCTCCACACTTGGCCACACACACAGTGGGGCTCAGCCTGCAACTTCTCCTCTGGATCCCCGCTGCTCTCCCGGGCAGAGAGAAGTAAAGGAAGCACTTCAGCCGTGGTGGTGGAGGGAGCCACTGTCACAACAGCATGGTCGAGCGGTGAGGAGAGAGCCGCCGACTTTCAGATCCTGGCCGTGCGGCTCTCTCTCTCCTCACTGCTCAGCCTTACTTCTGCGACAGCAGCTCCCTCCTCCGCCTCCAGCAGCAGCGCTTGCTTCACTTCTCCTCGGATCCCCGCTGCATACAGATGGGGAAGAGCAGTGGGGATCCAGAGAAGAAGCCCCACGGCGGGAGAACAGGACTTTGAGATCTACCAGTGATGGCTTTGCGATCACTGGTAGATCACGATCGACCTAATGGGCACCCCTGTTCTAGTTGATCTCTATTTAGAGTGTATGTAACTGTCCTTGATGCAAGGACAAACACAAGGAACACATGTATGACTTGCATAACTCCTTCCACTATCTGAAAATTAGGAAAGTTTAAGGGTTTTTTTTGATCTGTGAAGTACTGACATTTCTCCTCTTTTCAGAAAGCAAAGCTGCGCTCCATGTGCTAAAACTTACCTGGGATTGGTTTCTCCCCAGGTTTTTGCTGCAATATAAAAAACAGGAAAAAAAAATAATCAGAGAAGTAAAATTATTCAGTACTTCCCTAGTTGTGTAATAAAATTCCTGCTCTCATTGCAGCATTTCCTTTTTTCTAGACATCTTCTTCTACACAGATAGGTATTTCAAACATTGCTGAAATAAAAGGAGACTTTGAAAGTAGACATTGGCCATCCTACAATTATATTTTCACCAGGGGTAAAGTCTGATCTTGTTGTATAGGCGAGACTCCTTGATCTTGGAGTCATGGTGCTCCTAGGCCAACTGAGAACTGCAATCCCAGGGGCAAGTTTTGATTGTGCCCAAGGTAGATTTCTCTAGGTGGAAAACTATATTGCTCTATAATTTTCACCCCTACCCTCCCTACTGTGTGCCTCTAAATTTCCCTTAAATAAAACAGACCTGTGGGAACCAAATGTTCTTAACCCTTGCAGTGGGGCTACCCCTGGGCTGCAATGGTTAAGTGCTTGTTTTTGTCTAGGTCAAAACTAATTTTTTCCTTAAAATGGTACATTATCTCAGTTTAAAGGAGAACTATGAGGTGAATGCTTTTCACTCACCTCATAGTTCTAGCCGACCTGTGACAATGACTGTCACAGGTCGGCTCAGTAGATCGGGAGGTGAGCGAACACATACCGGCGTTCGCTCACCTCTCGATCCTGTCACAGCTCTATGCCGTGACAGGGGAGGGGCTGGATTCCCCCCTCCCCGATCCTATCCGCCAGCACTGACTGGCAGAACGGACGGGGGAGGGGGCGGGTACAGCTGGCTCTGCCTCTAGATAGGCAGAGCCAGCTGTCAGTCACGCAGCTGGGCGGATCCAGGCATAATTGTCGGGATCCGCTTCAGATGCAGCGTCTTAGTATACCGCGAGCTACAGCTCGTAGTATACTGAGCCTAGGGTGACGGGAGGATGCTAGTTTGTGTCCTCTCGTTACCCTAAGGAGAACTATGGAGAACTATGGGGAAAAGTCTTAACCCCATAGTTCTCCTTTAAACATTTGATATGTTTTCCATTTTCTATTGTGAATAAAAAATGGGTTTATGAGATCTGCAAATCGTTGTATTCTGTTTGTATGTAGATTTTTCACTGCATCCCAACTTTTGTTGAATTTGGGTTGTATACAATGTTGTACCATAGACTTCTGTAGAGAGTCTCTCTCCCTGTAGAAAGCATATGTATAGTGTAAGACAAGCATGGTATGGCAGCTCCAAGAACAGACAAGATGCACCAAGTGCAGAAATTAGGCCTCTTCATCAGGACCAGGAGATCAGCTGACAGGAGCACAGCTGGAGAGTGAGAAGCAGCACAAGAAGCCAATCACTTCATGTGTTGACAAGAAGTATGGTGATAGAAAGAGAAAACTTGTGCTGCTTTTCCTTTCACTGTCCAGTCACAGGCTAGGATGGGCCAGGATGACCTGGACACAGAGGAAGTGGGTTCAACAATGTTGGTCATCAGACTAAGGACATCTAGTTGCAGAAAAAAATGGTTTTGTTATTTTATCTTTTAATGGGCTATTTACTTCTATCTTTTTATTTTTTCCTGCAATTCTGCTTTAAGGTATAACCAGCACAAATTCAAAATAATCCTTTCTTCGTTCGCACAGAACATTTACCTGGACAAACTTTGGTGGAAACTTTTGCCTGAGTTCAAGTAGCAGTGCATCTACCCTCTGTCTCTGGAAGAAGGAGCTGGCTTCCTCCTTCTTTTTAGCTTTTGGTTTAGCCTTGTCTAGAAATACAAAATGGGAAATCAGCCATCACTGTAAAGCCTTAGCACAGGTTGTGCATTCTTCACAGCCAAATATTGAAACTGTTAGTTTTAGGATGTAATACAATTAGACATATATTAAAAGGATCTGTCCACAGAAAACCTGATATTTCAGTTTATGGAAGATGCTGGGGAGCTGAATGAGCCTACATTGTTTTTATTTCTCTTGTCAGTATCACTTAGAAAGTTTACTGACTAGTTCACCTGCAGTAAATTCATGAGGTTAGCTCCGTTTTCATTTATTTTTTGCAGTTTGACAGTTTGACTCAACGAGCCACAGCAGAAGGCATAAAAGCTCAAATTGCGGGAGCATAGCTGGGAGCTAAGGCACAGAGATCTCAGCACCAAGATACCCATGCATACATCAGCTCATCAGAATGTCAAAAGCTGAAAACTTATGTTATTACATTCTAGATAAAAGGTCACACAATACAATCACATAACTATCCACCACCAGACTCAAGGATAGAATATAGCTGCAATCAGCAATAAAAGGTGGCCAAGCATTAGAGCCGGTTATAGCACATGAGAAGATAATGTAGTTAGAGAAATAAATAGCAAAGTTATGTATTCACAATAGACATGTACATCTGCACACGTTTTCATGAATTGTAATATTTTTCCAAATTCAAAATGGCTGCCGACCTTGGCGGCATTTGGAACCCATATTGTATTTGGCAGTTATGATATTGAGTTATAATATGTATAAGAAGTTTAACATACTTCATTAGTGATCGAAATGCACATTTATGCAATTTGCTTCAATGTTAAAAGTGATTGGCTCGTGGCGGCCATATTGATTTTGGGATCAGGCCTGGTTTTACAACCGTGGTAGAAGAGGTAGCCGTGGACATATGTGCAAAGTTTTGAGTTATTCTGATAAATGGTTTCATAGATGAAGTTGCTTGCAGAATATTGGACAATCCAAAATGGCTGCCAAACCATGTGGTCACATGACTTGTAATAAACATATATGACTGAAGAGCTCAGCATATCCTCACATAGCAATATGTATATCTTAGCCTTAGCGGTTATGGAAAAAAAAAGTTTGAAAAATTGTCAGAAATAGGTTTGCTTAAACCAAATGGCTGCCAGAGCATGTGACCTATGACCTTTATGTTGACAAAGATTATAAACACAGCACAGTTCCCTACTATTTTCATTAGTTTCCCTACTAATTTCATTAGTTTTTACATAACTGTGTGGTTATAATTAGCATTTGAAAAAAGAGCATCAAAATAAAAGAAATATTTGTAGAATTTGACACAATTCAATATGGCTGCTGAACCATGTGGTCAATTGACTTGTAATAATCAGTTCCGAGTACAGATCATAGCATGACTTTATACAGCAATTTGTACATCTGTAGCTTTAACCCTTTCGCTGCCAAGGACGTATGGCATACGGACCTACAAAAGTGCTTCCAGCTGGCCAGCTCAGAAAAGCAGAGGTATGTTTAATAGAACTCGTGAGATCTTCCATGGTATATATATCTTGGATACGGTCTAGAACTTGACTTATATGGGGGGCTTCGGGTTTCTTCCAGAGTGCTGGGATGCATGCCCGAGCGGCATTTACCATGTGTCCAATCAATGAGTGGGTATAGGAACGCAGCGGGATGGTATTATGGTGGAGGAGAAAGAAGGTCGGGTCTTCAGATACCTGGACATCCGTAAATTTCTGAACGAGAGCGCGTACTTGCTCCCAAAACCGTCGGAGAGCCGGGCAGGACCAGAAGATATGTAACATACCTGCTCCGGATTGTTGGCATCGCCAACAACGGTCGGGTGACTCGGGGAATAGTGTGTTAAGGGATTGTGGAGTACGGTACCATCTAGT